CCGCCTCGAGCGCGACGCCGAGGCCGCCTACCGCGCCCTGCTGCAGCCTCTGTGGGCCAGGCGCTCCGACCGCAACGAGCGTATTGCGGCCGCCATGGCCGCCTATATGCGCCACAACGACGCCGCCATGCTCGCCTGGCGCGCCGCCCGCGAGGCCGAGGCCGCCCGCGACCGCCACCGCCGCGGCGAGGACCGCGACATCAAGCTGGAGCTGCAGGCGCGCGAGCTCGCCCGCGTCGACGGGGCCTTCGCCGCCCGCGAGGCCGAGCTACTAGCGCGCCACCGCGCCGAGAGGTGCTGGGCCAAGGCGCTGCTCGAGGAGCGCCGCAGCGTGTTTCGTCAGTTGAAAAGACGCGAGATGGAGCGCGTGAGCCAGGTGGCCGACGAAGCCTCTTAAGAAACACGTGCCGTTTTCTTCTCCTAATCGAAACAAACGACCACTCACTCTTTTATAACTGCCCTTATGGCCTCGCCTCCCACTTCCTTTCTGATATACAAGCTTTTTTTTCTTCAAAATCGAGTTACTCTCAAACTCCGCCGTTGCAGAAAATAAAGGCCAACCTCCCGTGTGGCAGCGTAAGCGAATCGTGAACTTCTTTTTTAACATTTTGTATAAACTAAAACCTACGTGGCGCCATCACGGCGTTCCCTCCTCTTATCTTTAGCCGACGCGCCCCACCCACTCCGGCATTACCGGGTTCCCTTGACTTCTTCCACCTCGGCACAGTTCCATCTACAACAGACAAAACAGCCGTCTCCTCTGTAGTCTCCTGGGAGATCCGCGCCGATGCCACCCAGCGATCAAGGTGCAGACAATTTCCGGGCTGGCCCAGGGACCTCCCGAGGCATTCGTCCGCAGAAAGAGAAGGCCACCATCAAGTCGGTTCGCTTGTACCCTGCCCGCCATCGTATCTCCCTAGCGTTCACAGGGGCGCTCTAGTAGACCTTCTTCTTCTCGTCGATGCTGAACTGGCCGGGGCCGCTGTTGACGAGGAGAAGGAGACCACCGACGATAGAGAGGATCTGGAAGAAGTCGTACTTGGCAAAGTCCTTGTGGGGGTGGTGCTCGTGAAGCTGGTGAAAGGATAAGGGTGTCAGTTTTCATGTATTTAGAAAAACGAAACCAATAAAGTACGCCAAGATCGCAATGGGATCTACTCACAGTCCAGAAGTTGTTCACCAGCAGGTTGAAGACGCTCAGGATGACAACCAGCAGAGTGGCGCTGAACTTGGCCTTGAATCCGACGATGACCATGACGCAGGCGAGCAGGCCGAGGACGGAGACGAGGACCCTCCAGATGCTCCACTCGCCAGCGAAGACGAAGCCGATGAAGAGGAAGATGAGCAGGACGCGACCAGCGAGCTGGAAGTACATCTTGCGGTCCTTCTCTTCGAGCTGGGGCAGGCCAGCAAACGCCTTGGTCTTGCGCACCCACGAGTCGGAGAGTACCATGATCAGGCCGCCCATAACGGAAAGGTTGCGCAGGAAGAAGTTGAGGTCGAAGATAAGACCGTAACCGAAGGCCTGGGTGACGACGACGCCAATGAGGCCGCCAACGGCATACTCAGAGTACCTCCTGGCAATGACCAGTGTGGAGCACGCGACCATGGCGAGAACGTTGATGATCAGGAAAAGCTGCGGGATTCCCTTGGGGACTGTTTGAGAGGTAATCGTCAGCATCCTGATACCCTCCATTCCGCCGCCTCGACCCAATGCATCTTGCGCCGTTGTTGCCGCCCCCTATTTTTCGGTGGTGGCATGCTAACGCGCACTCCTACAGCTACAAAAGGGGGTTCTGAGGGCTAGATAAACTTACAGCCACGGTAGTCGCGAAGGTAGTAGACTTGGTCGCTCCATTGCGTCAATATCCGCAGCGCGTCCTCGAGGAAAGTCACGACAATAAGAAAACGGCCAATGGCTGGTAAGTATCTGCAGAAGGGAAAAGGTCAGCCGATTTTGTCTGTTTTTGAGCTTGTTGCCAGCGCGTCAGGTCGCCAGCAAAACAAAGCTGGAACATCCCAAACTGCACACCAGGGAAACGCACGGCTTGATGGGTTCCGAGAGGTTGTCCAGCACATCCTCAATTTTGCTCGTCTGCTGTCGGATGGCGTCCAGGGCGCTGGGCTCGCTCTCGGTCATGGACGGGCCGCCGAAGGGGTTGGGGGCATTGGGTATGCCGTAGCCCGAGGGACCTCGTTGCGCCATGGCGTCGGTTTTGGTTTTGGTGGTGGGGTAGTTTGTAGGTTTCGGGGCTCGAGGCCGTTTGTCCTCCTCTTGTTCTGCTCGACTGGCTGTTCGGGTTTCACCAGGTCGAAGACAGTTCGGATGTCACGGGAGAGAGTCGCAGTCGCCAGCTGTGTCGCGGCCAGCGAGTGAGAATAAAATGCGGTCGGGGGCGTGTAGCCTGTCGCAGGTTGCGGGTTTGCCGGCGAGAAAATAACTTCGGGCGGAAGGGAGAAGGAGATGAGGGCTGAACTGAAAGAAAGGGAAGCGAAAACAAAAAAGTCACCCGAGGACGAAGTGGTTGATGGAGAAAGGAGAAGGAATTGATTCGATGGGGAAAAGGTGAAGTCGCAGGGGGAAAAAAGGACGCTGGTTTGGCGATGGCAGCTTAGATAAAAACAACTGTGTCCTCTTTCTGGGAGCGAAGCTCGGCTCGTGGAGTAGGTCTCAAAGTAAGCGCGCCGCCCGCCGTCTGCACTGTGGTGGGGACCTCGGCGCTGGTGTATTTTGGCATGCCTGCTGTGCCTGCGGCAGCGTCCGCAGCAGGGAGGGGAAAAAAAAGGTACATGGCGTGGCTGAAAACGGGACCTGTGGGTGGGTGCGCCGCCGCAGAGGCTGCCAGTACCCGCGCGGCTATAGGTACCTTTTGGCTTGAGGCTTGGGCGTGGGCAGGGGTGTGGGCTTCTCGAACGGATGGGCCGCCCCATCGAACAGGTGCGAGAGAGGACCCTCGCGAGATGGGGGGGAGGCCGTTTCAAACGCAGCAGCAGCCAAGAGGGTCGGATCTGCAATTTCTCCTTCTCCTGGCCGAAACGCGTCGAGGAGGACGCTCGACGCACCGCCACGACTCGCCAAACGAGGGCACCGTGCTCTGCTCCTGGCGAGGGCGCTGTAAAGGCCTGTAGCACTTGCAGCGCACCGCCTGAAGCACATGTGTCTTTTCTGGATACGTGGTCACATTGGGCAATTGCAACCCGCACCCGCATTTCTCGAATTTGCGGCCATCAATGCTCCGTTCTTGACATCGCCAGGCCCCAGGGGAAAAGTCTAACTGGAATCGGACGGGCCAGGCCAGTGCGCACGGTCCCCTGCCGGGCCGATCGCGCGGGGTTCGTCGAAGCTCGGGCTTGTGAGCGGCGCCGTTGAACCGACCTGGGACCTAAACCAGCACAGACAGGGCCACCTCAACACTAGCTCGCTCATCCAGTGCTTTGGTGCGAATCCCGTTTGGGATGAGAATGATTGATCTCGATAATCGACCCGGTTACCGGCCTGCTTTACTGTGCCGTACGTAGCTCAAGTCCCCGTTCATCATCTCCCATCTGACATTGACTGCGCGCGCCCTGCCTTCTCGCGCCCTGCCTTCTCACGCCTTTCCAGTTATGTAAGCGTCAGCGGCGCACTCCGGGTTGAGGCTCAACGCACCCCCTGGGCGGGCAGTGCAAGCATCTGGCGTCCCAAAAAAGCGTGCCAGCCCACCTGCAGGCACCACCAGGACCCCGTCCCCCCCTGCCGGCATCAGGCCTGAAAATAGCCCGCCTATGAGACGACGCCCACAGGCCCGGGTGGCTCGGCAGCTCACCTCTTGGCCCTCCCACGATGGAAGTGCATGACAGCATGCGCAGTGGAGGATGCATCGATGGCGCCAACGACTTTTGGCTGCTCCTGTGCTGACTTTGGTATAGTAATTTCTGACATGGGCTGCTGCGACGGCTCCCGACTCAGGCAACCGCCAACAGATGAGGTTTCCGTTTCTGGCCTTGACCTTGCCCTGCCCTTGTTTTTTTTTCCTTTTTTTCTTTGATATCGATGTGGCTGCGTGTTCGGAACCCGCCGAACGATTCATCTTGTTCTCTGTCGGCCCTGGACGATGCCAGCAGATCCCACACTGTCGTTTCTCGTTCCTGATTCCTTGTTCCTGATTCCCACCCCTGCTCCACTCACCACCCTGGTATGTCTGGGTGTAAATTGCCCCGAATAGGCAGTTGGGTTTATTTTGAGGATCGTCTTGAAGTCTATTCGAACTAATACAAACCCGTCAATACGGACAGGCTTGGAATAAAATATTTACAAGAAAACATAACTCAACTCTGTCGCACAACACCGTACTAACCCTACGGCCTCGGCCCAGGCGTGAACCCCCTATCTGAGTTGTGTGAGTAAGAAAACTGCCGCGACTGCTGGTACGCCTGGAACCCTGGACTCCTGGGAGCCGCGGAAAGTTCCACGGGGGCGGTCGGCGGCGGGAGCTCGTGGGCGCCATGCGCGCCGGGTCTCGGAGCGGCCCAATTCGGCGCGGAGCTGACGCTGGCGCCGTGGTGCGGCATGTACTGCTGGTGCTGCGGGCCGTACCCCGAGATCGGCTGGTACGTCGGGAACGACCCCGGGCTGTAGGGCGGCGTCCTGCCCCCCGCGTGCGACGGCGGTGGCGGCGGTGGCACCACGTTCTGGTAGTGGTGCGGGTGGTACGGATGGTGCGCGACACCTGCCGCGCGGTACGGGTCGTGCATGATCGCCGCCGCCGAGTACGGGGACACGGTCGTCGCGAACGGCGAGTGGCCAGGGCTCGAGAGCGTTCCGACATGCTGCTGCTGATGCTGATGCTTGACGTCGAGCGGGGCCGCGTTGCCCGCGAGCGGCGTGCCGCCCTCGCCGAGACGCGGCGTCGGCGGGTTGGCTGCCGCCGCCGCCGCCGCCGCGCCGTCCTCCTTCGACCACGGCAACAGCCCGCGGCCGCTCCTCCTCCCGCAGATGAACAACAGCGCGCCGACCAGCGCGAGGGCCGCGGTCCCGCCGATGGCGATGCCCGCGATCTGCCCGGGCCCCAGCGCAGGTGCCACTTGCTGACCACCCGCCGCGCCGGCTGTCGGCGTCGTCGGGCGCGCCGTCTCGCTGGGCCAGGCGTCGCCGGGCGTGAGCTGCAGGCTAGCCTTCCTCACGGCCTCCTCCTGCTTCTCCAGCGTCTGGGTCGAGTTCTGTGTGCGTAACAGGCTTGGTCAGTGGGCCGTCCCTAAGCAGAGAGGGGCTAGAGCTTGCAGCGGTGGAAAGGAGAACCCACAGGGTTGATGGCGCCAATCATGTGGTGGTCCACGCACGACCCCGGGGCGGAGCAGTAAAAGAATATCGGCTGCGTGTCGTTTATCTTGATGGAGAAGGTCGGCAGGTCGTTGGACACGACGTGCGGGGTCTGGATCTTGCTGAAGAAGCCCACGTGGTTGACGCCCGTGAGCTCGTAGGGGATGCATGGTAACCCAAAGTCGGAACGCGCTACTGCGTGGCCGCCGGGGTAGAAGCGAAAGACTGGGTAGTGTGGATATTAGGATTAGTACGGGCCGCTGAAAGATGGCAAGAAACAGAAAGGGAAAAATAACTTACGAACGGTATCGCCTTTCTCTGCTGTTATGCGGTTTGGCTGAAACTTGAAGCCATCCTAGTGTCCAACCACGCTTTGGTTAGCCCCTGATCATGGACTGCCAGGCCAAATCTAGTATCTGTGCTGCTGTGGAAGGTGTCCGTACAGCACCGACCGCGACGGTGTGCGTAGCCGCCGCAACCGAAGACGTCGTTGATGTTGATGTTGACGTTGAAGGGACAGAGGTCGCTCTCGCTCGCGTCGTGGTTGAGGTTCGAGCAGATGTTGTCTGGGCTTCGACGCCGATTCCAATAAACAAAACGCTGGCGAAAAAACTGGGGAGAAGCATCGCGACGAGGGCTGGTATCAGGTGCGGACTTGACCAGAAGAGAGACGGGTCAACGGAGTAGGATCCCGGTTGCTAAGGAGAGTTTGGGGTTAAGAATCATTCCCAGCAAGCGGAAGCACTTCCGGACCGACATCGTGGGAAAAGCAGGCGCACTCGCAAGACACCATATAAGTCACATCAAGCCGGACACGATAGTTGCGGCACATCCGTTCGTGCCTTCACACCCACTCCCGCCTCGTCGTCCAGCCTGCCTACACATCTATCCGTCGTGTGAGGATTGAGCTCCCCGCACAACCGCAGCAAATTAGGAGCTGACGCACGGCAAAATAGAAGCAATCCGTGGACAGCGTCTTGGTCCTAACGTGAGCCCTCGCCGCTTTGGGACGCTTCGCCCAATCCCGCCTCTCGCTCGTACGGCACTAACGATTGACATCTCTCTCTCAAGCCCGGTCTTCCCGCACAAAATTCCCAGTTCCAGCACGGTTCAGGGGTGGTTGTGTGGCGATTACATTTTTAGCAGCGCCGATCGAGGCTGCGGCTGCGCGGCGTGGCAGTGTTTGGGCGTGTTGGATGCAGGACCTTGCATCAAGTGGTGTTGCGAACCAACAACGGCGAATGCTGGCAGCACCTAAGACACGTCCTGTACATATTGCTTGCAGCGTCAGCAGCGTTTGAGAATTGAGATTGCGAGCGCGTGGGTATATATCCGGATTAAACCTATCCCGTAGTCGGGCAACGTTCAAGTCTGAGGAAAATTGGCAGAAAAGTGAACAAAGAGCAGATTCCAAGCATCTAGACGCTGACGGCAGCCAGCCCTTGTGCCCCACCGACCCTGCTTATCTGCATCCATCTCCTTCGGCTGCTCAGAAATTCTTCACCTTGGGCTTCTTAGTGATCCAAGACTTGGGTATCAGCTCGGCTTCGACCAGTAGCCTCCACATACACCAGAGGTAGCACAGCGCAAACCCGGCGGCCCCAATACCAACGTTAGCCACTACCCACAGGTCGGGCTTGTCAGGGGGAGGCCGGAAGCTGAGCTCAGCCACGTGCCATGTCGCCATTGCCAGGTAGAAGACGCCGTGGACCAGCGCCGTAGCCCACTGCATGGGGGATGTCGTCAGGCTCTCGTCAAAGTAGGCCCCTAGCGATGCCGGTGGCAGACCAAGGAGGTAGGCCCAGAGGAGGGTGAGCACTGCATACGGCACGCGCAGGTCGACGCGTTGCAGCAATGGGAACATGGTCCATGCGCCCAGCAGGTTTGCAAAGCCAACCCAGGCCCGCACCTCTCTCGCAAGGCCCTGCTTGCCCGCAAGCATCATCGTCATGGGCATCAGAGGCAGCAGGACACTCTTCTCGTGCACCTGGTAGCTGAACATGAAGAAGCCCCAAGCAGTCGCAGCGAACGCCGCGGGCAGGAGTTGTTTCCACGGGCGCAAGAACAAGACCAGGTTTGGCGGCGCAATAGAAAGGAGCGTCATGCCCAAGGCCGCCTTCTGCAGGAGGTCGGCAGGGTACTTCCGTAGCTTGATTGCGACGTTAAGCGCGCACCAAAAGTTGGCCACTTTGTCCTCGAACAAGCCGCGCGCAAAGGGGAACACGCGGTGGATCAGCTGCACCGTCTGCTCGATGATGGGGTAGTAGGCGGCCTCGGTGTCGACGTAGTTCGTCAGCCAGGCGAAGAGGGGCAGTGGTGGAGGCGGCCCTTCCAGCTCCGGTCGAGGAGTGATGCCTCGGCGGACATCGTACAAGGCGCCCAAGACTAGGGGGAGGACAAGGATGGCGAAAGAGATGGCTGTGATTGCAGCAATGGCCAGGAGCCTGGCAGGATTCGGGCGTGGAAAGACACAGCTGCCAAGGAGATAGGCAAACACGCTGAAAGCGTAGTACAGAGCCATCTGCTTGAATCCCAGGGCGAGGACGAAGAATACCGAGGCCCAGAGGAGCCTGCCGGCCAGCATGCTGGACATGCTAGCCAGGACAAAGCCCAGCATCACCGTGTTGTACTGGAAGTGGACATGGTCGATTAGGATGAGACCCGGCTGCATCAGGATAGCCACAAGAGCGATCGAGGCGGTCCAGGTGGCCACGCCATTGAGCCGGCTAAAGCGGCGAACGAAAACGACGACGGCAGGAATATAGAGCAGATACTCCGATACGATGACCGTGGCCCGCATGAATATCTTGAGCGTAGGGTCATCGCAACCGCGTGAGGTGAAGAGAGCGAACCAGGACGGGTCGATACGTGAGCCGATGACGCCCAGAAGCCAGCTGTGGTATGCCGTCAGGGGCGGGTAGTCGAGTCCCCACCACTGGAGGTCGTGGAAGTACCACTGTGATATCGGCAGCTGTGTCGTGATCTCCATCCAGTGTCGCTGCGCCTCGTAGTCGCCATATAAGGGAGGTTTCTGGAAGCCTGTATGGTGGAGGGAGGAGGGGGTCAGCAGGTGCACACATGGCACGCCTCGCGGTGCCGCCTGGACGCTGTGTAGCGTGGTGACTCTTGCCTGAGTATCCCCAGAGTCCTGCAGCCCACCTGAAGAGGCCTACCACCATCAAGGTGAGTGCCGAGACCTCCCATTGTGTTGCGGAGCTACGGGCGGGCCAGAGGAAGGCGGCCAGCGGGAAGGTCGGGACGCGCACCAAAGCTTCGGCCTTGGGAGACTTGGGGGAGACGGGGCTTTGCGGCTTGACGGCGGCGCTGGCGGCGGCCTTCTTGGGCTTGCGCGCCCTGGGCGTCTGCGGGGAGGGATCGGAAGACCCGGCCATGGCGTCAATGGCTACGGGAGGCGTTGTGGGAGACGGGGTCGAATTCGCATCGAAAGCTTGAGGCACGTGCGTTGAGCGGGCTCCAGGACCTCAACGGCCGAAGTTTGATGTGAAGCTTCACTGAAAGCTGCACGCTGATGCCAGCGAAGCTCCAGCGAATTTTCTCCACCAGCCATCGCGTTTCATTGCTTGCTGCCCCGGTCGCGGATGCCCTGACGCTAGCGTTGTGGGGTAACTGGGGGCGAATGATTGGATAGGGGCCGGGCCTCGAGGCCAGGGGGTGCTTGTGATGTCACCTCCGGCATTGAAGCCAATTCGAGAGGGGCAGCTTCGCCTGACCCAAGCTTATGTTGGTTGGTTCAAGGCTTTTGTCCCTTCTAGCTATCGCCCCTGATCGCGGGAGCCGTCCTTGCTCAGGCTCGATAAATTGATCATATAGACCGTGTTACTGGAATCTCCGGTTACCCTCGCGCCCATGTAGCCGCCCCGCCCTCCTCGCGCCTTCACACGCCTGCCCATCGCAGCCATGCCGTACCCCTTTGTGCTCCCGACCTGTTCGGCCTTCTCCTTCTCGTCTAGCTTCGGCTGCGAGACGCATCCATCGCTGCCCCTCAACACCAGCACCTATCGCGGTGTCGTGCGCGACACCCTTAAGAAGCACAAGCGCCTGCCACCCTCGGCCCAGGCCGCCAGCCTGTCGCTGGTCGTCGCCAGCATCAACGACTACCTGCGTTACTTGCTGGCCGTGGACGCCGGCCTCAGCCACCGCTCCCCGCACGCCGGCGCCGACGGCGAGCAGGTCGACGTGGTTCTCAAGTCGGCGCCGTCCATCGAATGGCGGCCCTCGCTGTCCGAATCGCCCGTGCTGGGCCGCGAGCCGCCCCGCGTGAGCGTACGTTCGCTCGAGCACGAGCTCTACTTCGCCCTCAGCACCCTCGCCAACGCCCTGTCGCTCCAGGCCCGCTCCGCTCTACAGCCTCTATACGTCGTGTCCGTCGCCCCGCCGGGGCCGGACCAGCGCCTGGCGGCCGTAACCGGCGCGACCCGCCTGCTGCTAGATGCCGCGTCTGTCTACGACTACCTAAGCCAGCGCTCCACGTCATCGTCGGGCCCGGCGCCCTGCGCCGACATCAGCCCCGCCACCGTCGCCGCCCAGAAGAGCCTAGCGCTCGCCGAGGCCACGCTGCTCGCCGTGCTCAAGGATGATCCGTACCCGGCCCTAATTGCCCAGAGCCGCAACTCCCAGGACAAGGAGTGGATGTATCGCGCCCCCGAGATACCAAAGGTGCGCGCTCATCTGTTCGCCCGCCTTTGTCTCGCCGCCTCAGAGCACGCCGCGCAGGCCGTGGCCCTCTCTCAGTCAGCAGTGGGTGATGGGGGCGCCGGTGGCGGCGGGGACTCCAGCACCGGCGGGAGAATGGGTGGTATAGTCCGGGGCGTCAGTGGCGGTAGCAGTGGCATTGGACCGGGTAACAGCGGTGCAAGTAGCAGAGGTCTAAGCGGTGACTTTATCAAATACATTGAGAGCCTCAGACAGACCGCGCGCGCCAGGGCATGCCGCTTTTTCGGCATCGACGCCGAGCTGGGCGGTCAGACCGGCAACGCCATCGGCTGGCTGCGCGCCGGCCTGCAAGAGCTCGGGGCCGAATCCCCGGGCGACGGCAAGAAGAGCGGCTTCCGTTTGGGAAAGCTCGCCAAGGAGTGGACGGAGAAGCGCGAGGATCGCAAGGTCGAAAAGGGGACCAGCTGGGGCGCCGACGCCGGCCGGCTTGACGAAATGCGCGTCATAGAGATGCTAGACGCGAAATGGTCCAAGCAAAATGATACCGTACGTTCCCGGTTCCATGCGAGGCCACTGGATGTCAGGCGTTTAGGTGTCAACTCTGACCTCGAATATCCTCCCACAGATGAACACACAGCTTGTACCCGCGGCTGCCACACTCCTGGCACAAATGCCCTCCGGGCGCGATATCCATATAATAAAACCGTACGAACCGCCATCCCTTGACCCTGTGGTCCTGGAGACTATGCGGGCACCGCCCGAAGGCTCTGACGACTTCGGCAACGGCTCCGATTCGGAGGACGAGGGCAAAGATGAGCGGCCAGGGGTGGGCGCATTTCCTGGAGCCAGAGACGCCTACGAGAGGTCTGCTAGTACTAGCTCTTACTATTGATATGCGCGATAGCTTGTTTACATTCCCGTAATAGAGAAACCGGCTCTCCATCACCCGCAAGATCCGTCACTCGAAAGGACTACAAAAGTGAACCTGTTGAAGAGAAGCCGGCCCTGAGAGCAAAATGAGGCAAGATAAAATAAGAAGTGGAAAAGTGACAGTTGGCATCGTTGAGAGAAGATACAACCTCATAAGGTCTATGCATGTGACGACAACAGCCATAGACTTGCACCTACGCAATAACGAGGCGCTCGATGGAGAGCCTGGCAACCTCGAGCACATTCTGACAGGCATGCTTCTGCCCTGGAGGAAGGGGCTTGTGGTTGAGACAGCTCGCATCAACAATCTCGCCGGCCGCGACCAGCTCGTCAATCTTTGCGTGCCTTGCCCGGGACCTCTCGAGCAAAAAGTCCACAATGTCCTTGAGGCCGATCTGGCACACAATCTCGGCGGGCCTGACGCCCAGCATCGTGGGGTTGCCACAGAACTCGGCGCTGAGCCCGTAGACGTCGAGCCGCAGCATCGCCCGCACCAGGGACCTCCACATGTCCGGGTCCAGCGACTTAGCGGCCATGATGCTCTCGAAATCGCCGCACCGGTCGGCGACGCGGCCCCACAGCCCGCCGTAGGTTTTGATATCAAATACGAGCTGGGGGACGGCGCGGGTGAGCGGATCGTGGCGGCGCGCGGCGGCGGTTTCGACCCGGCAGGCCTCGGCCTCGGCGTCGATCATGGGCAGGATGGTGTTGTAGGCGTTGGCGATGGAGGGCAATAAGGCCCCGAGAAGCATCAGGTTCTGGAACGACTGCGTGCTTGGCTTATGCAAGGGGTCTGTGAAGTCTGGTGGCGAGCATGCCGGACACTCGGTCACTTCCCAGGCGGTTTTCGCGGCCCCTCGTGCGCACGCCATGGCGTGCTCGACTTTCTCAGGCAGATTTTGCAACGAGTCGAGAGCCAGGTACATCTTGGCCAGGCAGGGGCAAGAGCCCTTGGAGCGGGCGGTGGTGGAGGAACCTGTTCTCGGGATTTCGTTGAGGGCTTGATGGTGCTGGCTTTGCCGTGGTAGTGAGGACCAAGAAACAGGGCTGTTTCCAATGATAGAGGCGACTACAGGCGTTGGGGGTCCGTCCGAGGCAAGCGATGGTGGTGACGGCGTCGGGCCTGGTTCTGGTCCAAAATCGTCCAGACCTGAGAAGAGGATGCCGTTAGTGAGGTGGAGGTTGAGGAGCTGGCGCTGAGGCGGCGGATGCGACTTGGCTTGAGGCGGCTGTTGCGCCCACACATCGGACCCGTCGGCGGCGACAGCACCAGCGCTCTCCCCTTCGGACCCCAATCCTATGAAGCCTCCCCAAGGACCCGAGTACCGGTCTCCAGGCCCCACCGTTCCAGCCTCGACCTGGTTGCCGATCTCATTGCTAGGCTGTATAAAAGTCGCTGACAAGTTTGGGTCAAGCATGTCGAACAGGCTGGGACCGCTGTCAGCCAGGGTGGGGTCCAAGTCAAAGGCGGCAAAGTCCGGCATCATGGAGATGAAATCGGTATCATCGCCAATCGTCGGGAGATCCTGCTGCGGCGGTGGCTGTGACTGAGTGGCCCTGTCACCGCTATCACTCGGGACCTCGGCGCGCGGCCGCTTCCTCGGCCGGCCCATCTGCTTCTGGGGAGAGTAGTGGCATACAATGCCCTCCCGTACGCAGCGAGCACATCCGCTCGGCTCTTTGCTGCATGCCAGTTTCCGAGTCCTACACTCATCGCACGCCCGCCGCTGCTTTTGTTGTCGCGACACTCCACTTTCAGGGGCGATTGACGCCACTGGAGCTTCTAATGAAGCCATCGCAATTGACTGTAGGCTTATGAAACAAGTCGCTAGTTTGGGCGCAAAGTCTTTGAGGAATGGAGAGCAATCATTTGGGGGTTTGAGTTGTTTGAAACAGCCGCGGAAACCTCATAAGAAAGCTCCTGTTACGTTAGGTCGTCCACAAGGGTTGCGCCCTGCCGGTGGCCATCAATGAGAAATCACGACGGGTAGAGAGGAAGGGTGCGTAAGATAGCACGTGTTCCAGCTCATGCACAATCCATGGTGCGTGGGGCTTTTCTTTTTGGAATCACCGGGCTGATGTGCGGCACTTGATGCTGACATAACAACATGCTCACTGGGGAGCCCAGCTTGACTTTGCTTTTAGCTCGAAATCGTGAGGTGAGTGGTAGTGCTACCTGCTACCGCTATGTGGCTATCCCCAAGGTCGATTTTTGGTTAGCGAGTACTTGCAAGTTTTATAGTGCTGTGAAATCGTGAAAGTCGAGCGAAGTCTCAGTGCTTTGTAAAAGAGTTGATGCAGGGGTCTGCGTTGTTGATTACCCTAACCCGCGGATAACTGTGGGGAAACGACAAGGCGGTGAACAGCTTCGCGCCTGGATCCGCGACTTTTCCCCCCGCCGCTCAGATGTGAGGAAATCGGCAGAAAAAAAAAAGATCAAAAAAAAAAGGCTACTGGCGTCGCATCCAGAAAATCCGGCGCCAATTGTTGTGCAGTTTCGACGGTCACCAACAACCTCTCGTCCACATCCCACAATGGGTCCGCAATTAGCAAGCCGGAAGCGAAAGCTCCCCTCGAAAGCCGTCGAGGAGTCGGACGACGAGATTATTGACGGTCTTCTCGATGGCGCCCTCTCCCAAAGCGAGGACGACGATGAAGCAGACGAATCCGAGCCAGGGGAGGGCGAGGGGGAGGATGATGAAGAGGATGCGACTTCGGACCTGGAAGAGGAGGACTCCTTCAAACGGGCCTTGAAAGGTGCAGAAGCTTTGGAAGATGGCGCAACAAACGGGGCAGGGGATGAGGACGACGACGACCGGCCAAACTACAGGATAGTCGAAGATGCAAATGGCGGAGTGCGCTACGTCTACGATGAGATCGATCCAGTCTACGACTCGGACGACACGGATGCGCGGGGAGGAGAGAACACCATTGGCAACATCCCGCTCTCCTTCTACGATGCATACCCGCACATCGGCTACACTATCGACGGCAAAAAGCTCATGCGCCCGGCTGAGCGAAAGCAGGCGCTGGACTCATTACTGGAGAGCATCGAGATCCCCAAGGGCTGGACTGGCCTGACGGATCCCACCACCGGCCAACCGCTGAACCTCAGCCAGGATGAGCTGGAGCTGCTCAAGCGTGTGCAAATGAACGAGATCCCAGAGGAGGGCTACGATCCGTATCCCGTGAGTGCAGCCCCCTAGCCTATCTTTGCGCGTCTGTCCTTTTCTTTTCTCACACCCACGTCTCCCTTTCAGGACACGGTCGAGTACTTCACAGGAATCGAGGAGAAAATGCCCCTGAGCGCCGCCCCTGAGCCCAAGCGGAGGTTCCTCCCGTCCAAGCACGAAGCCAAGCGCGTCATGAAGCTGGTCCGCGCCATCAGGGAAGGCCGTATTGCTCCGTACAGGCCGCCCGAGGAGCGCGAGAAGGAGGATGCCGAGGAAGAGGAGAAGTACTACGATGTCTGGCAAGATGAGCAGCCCCGGGCCGAACATGTGATGCATATACCTGCACCAAAGCTACCCCCACCCGGCTACGACATGAGCTACAACCCGCCGCCCGAGTATGTCCCCACCAAGGCAGAGAGGGAGGCGTGGGAGAAGCTGGAGCCGGAAGATAGGGAGAAGGAATACCTACCACAAAAGTACGATTCGCTCAGGAAGGTGCCAGGCTACGAGACCCTGGTCAAGGAGCGCTTCGAGCGCTGCCTGGATCTCTACCTCGCCCCCAGGGTACGGAAAAACAGGTTAAACATTGACCCCAACTCGCTGCTGCCGAAGCTGCCGCGTCCCGAGGACTTGAGGCCGTTCCCGACGGTGTGCCAGATGATATTCAGGGGCCACGATGGCCGGGTCAGGTCGGCGGCCGTGGACCCGACGGGTCTGTGGCTGGCCACAGGCGGCGACGACGGGACGATCCGCATCTGGATGATCAACCCGTCGCGCCTCGTGTGGAGCGTCAAGGTTAGTAGCGACGAGCCCGTGAGCGCCGTGCGCTGGCGGCCCAATCGCGACACCATGGTCCTGGCGGCGGCGGCGGGCGAGGAGGTGTTCCTCATGGTGCCGCCAGACATCGACCCAGAGGTCGAGCAGGCCAGCCGGGCAGTCTTGGACGCCGGATTCGGCTACGCGGCCACCAACGGCAGCGGCAGCAACCAGATGACGGCCGACGGCAAGCAGCCAGCGGCCAAGTGGGCACGCCCAGGCGCGCGGCTCGAGGACGAGGGCGTGCTGCTCAAGGTGACGGTGCGATCGCCCGTAAAGGTCATCAGCTGGCATAGGCGCGGCGACCACTTCTGTACCGTGTCGCCGACGGGCCAGCGCAGCTCGGTGGCGGTGCACACGCTCTCGCGACACCTGACGCAGATCCCGTTCCGGCGGCTGGCGGGCCTCGCGCAGGTGGCGCACTTCCACCCGACGCGGCCGCTCTTCTTCGTGGCGACGCAGCGGGCTATCCGCTGCTACGACCTGCAGCGCCTCGAACTCGTGAAGGTGGTGCAGCCGGGCGCCCGTTGGATCTCTTCCTTCGACGTGCACCCGGGCGGCGACAACATGGTGGTCGGGTCCTACGACAGGCGCCTGCTGTGGCACGACCTGGACCTGTCGACGCGCCCCTACAAGACCATGCGGTTCCACCCCCAGGCCATCAGGGCGGTCCGGTACCACCGCGGTGGCCTGCCGCTCTTCGCCGACGCGAGCGACGACGGCACCCTCCAGATCTTCCACGGCAGAGTCGTCAGCGACCTCATGGAGAACGCCACCATCGTGCCGCTCAAGACGCTGCGTGGCCACCGCGTCGTCGACTCGCTCGGCGTTATGGACGTCGATTGGCACCCCACGGAGCCCTGGTGTATATCTGCCGGTGCCGACGGGACCGCGAGATTGTGGATGTAATTGGTTCTGTGTACCTAACTACCCCCATTTTCTCAGTCTTTGATTCTATCATCTTCTTCGCCACCCCCCTGTGCTTTTTGTGCCCTCGCACATATCACGCCATCGATAGCGTGGCGCGTGGCTGTGCAAATCCCAACTGCTCCTTCGCCAACCGATAACGTGCTTGTACCTAGGATAGGGGCTTCGGGTTCGGGGTTAAGCCGGTTCAGTAATCAAAACAAGCGAAATGGCACATCTGGGGACTTGGAATTTGAGCGCGGTTCAATGATAGTGTCCTCCAGTTCGCGCTCACACCCGACGCAATAATAGCCTCCCCTTTCGTGAACCTAATCACAGCTGCTTTCATCCGAAAACCGTCGCGAACACCGCCTTATGCGCCCCCCCTCGCCGGTATGCATGAATCATCTAGGGAGCACACAGAAAAACCCACACCGCCTGCTGTGAGATTCGAGGGAGGATGTGTCAAGTGACAGCTGTTCGCCCAAAAGCACGGAATCATCCTGCCGGTGACTGCTGTCCCCTAGGCTTCTTTCTTGGTTTCGCTGTGCTGGCTGCCCAACAACAACCAATGGCCAGAAACCCCTCATCCTGGTACCCAACGGGGGAACCC